ATTATTTGACAGGGATGAGGGGGGGGGGCGATACGGGGACTCCCTGGTATGGTAAACTTTTCCGAACAAGCCGAACGATGAGACAAACTCATTTGTAAATCACATCAGCTCTTTGGACCAAGGTGGTTTAAGGATGCCTTTGTCACTTGTTTCAAAAACCCTCATCCCTTCGGGTGGGGCTCCCCCTCCCTTCCCTGTTCTTTCTGCGGATTTCGCGATGTGTCAGGGGGTCCCTCTTCGCCCGCGATGGCTCCAAAAGGGCCTCCTACGCTCCAAGATAGCCTTCAATGCGGCCCCATATATCCACATCTGATTCAAGATAGCTTCCGACATACCTCCGGGAGGTCCGACGAGGGCCACAATGCGGTTCCAAATGCCTTCGGAAGCCCCTCATGACCCACCCACGTGGCCAATGTCCTTGAAACACCCAGGGGGCACCAATGATCTTTGCCTTCTCGGGGCTGCGAACTGCGAAACCGTCCCCACTTTCAAGGGCTGCTGGGGGGTCCAGCATAGCGACGTCCTGCGCGGACTCAGGTTGGCCCTGATCCTCTTTCCCGCGGGCCGCCCGAAGATCTAGCGGGTGAGCTCGGCCTCGCGCGCTTCTTGCGCTAACTACAGACAACGAATCTTTTTGGAACGCCAGAGCGAAATGGCGCAGGCCGGGCTGCTTGTCCAACGTGCCACTGGAAAGTCCTCATCTGACCTCTTTCGTTGTCGTCCTCTTCCTCTTTGTGCCGTCTCGCTGCTGCTGTCGCATTTACTGTTCGGCCCCTCTTCCGTCCTTTTCCTGCCCCCTGGTTCCTGCCCCCCATTTCCTCTTCGAGCCTGGGGCTTCAGTCCTCGTCCTTCTGTTGCTGTTCTGTGGATCGTGCAGCCCGCGCGCTGCCCATCTAGCTCGCAACTGACAGATCCTGTGTTGTCATAAGCCATACTGTCTGGACCAGATCCCCTTGTCGTTTCATACAGATGGGCTCGGTACGTCGAATGGTAATGTGTATCTCATATTACGACACTATCCTTTGTGAGTGCTTGGGCGTGGGATCTAAGTGCAGGTCCCAGCGTGCGCGTTCCTCTATGCTTCTCTCTGCCGCCGTATGCTGCGTTCTCTCTGCCGCTGTGTGCTGACAGGAGAAGGGTCGGGGGTGCCGAAACCATGGCTTCGATCGAAGGATCTCCACGCTCTGGGCGCGAACGGGCGAGGTGTAGTACCCCTTTGGCGGCTCACCCTTGGGGTGCTCAAGTGCTATCGTGTCACGCTGTGGGTGATTGAAAGTGAGAAATTGTAGCGTGCTCCTTCGATGGGGCGCTGGATGGCCCCCCACCCCTTTTGGGGTGCTGACCTAAGCGCCTTGCTAGAGACATCCTTACACTCTGTTCTGACACGGGAAGGATCGGTGTCGCCGAACAGGTGCCTCGCTCGACACATCCCAACAACATGGGCGCGACCGGGTGGGTGTACCACCCCTTGGCGGTTCCTCCCCTTCGGGTGTTACAACAAGCGACTCGCTCGAGACATTCTCACAGCTTCCTCTAAAAGGGAGAAAGCTGGTGCCGCCGAACAAGCGCCTCGCTCGACACATCCCCACAACATGGGCGCGACCGGGTGGGTGTACCACTCCCTGGCGCTCCCCTCCTCCCTTTGGAGTGCTAAAGCAAGCGCCTTGTTCGAGACATCCTAACAACCTGCTCTGCGAGGAATGGAATCGGAGCCGCCAAGCAAGCTCTTCGCTCGAGACATCCCCTCAAACCGGGCACGAACTGGCGAGGGTAACGCCCCCTATCAGCTCTTCCTTGGTGTGCTCAGGTGCTATACCTGCTAGATCGTGGTGAGTTCTGCGTGTGAGTGAGTTTGTATGAATGAAACGCATGGGTCTGAGTGTGCGTGAGTCTGAGTCTGAGTGAACTGCGTGTGAGCGAATGTGGGTCTGAGGGGATATGAATGTGAGTGGTGAGGTCTGCGTGTGAATGAATATGGGTGTGAGCGAATCTGAGTGGATGAGTCTGAGTGTGAGTGAGTCTGAGTATGAGTGGGATGGATGTACATGTGTCTGCGTGCGAGTGATCGCAGTATGAGTGGATGTGAGTGTGTGGTTGTGAATCTGAGCTTGAGTGTCTGTGAATGAAAGGAGGCAGGACGTGAAAAGGAGGAGGAGACGGAGGAGTAGAAGGCAGCCCATCTGCTACACTATATCTGTATCAAGACATGTAGTTAAATATGCGTGGTGCAGGTCATGTTGTGCAATGTCTGCAGGTATGCATGCATGCATGCATGCATGTATGTAAATGTGCCTGTATGCTTGTATGTATGTATGTATGTATGCATGCATGCATGTATGCATGTATGTATGTATGTATGTATGTATATTTGTATGTATGTATGCATGTACGACTATGTGTACGAATGTATGTACGTATGTATTCATGCGTGCACCGACGTACGCAAATGTACATGCACGTATGCATGCATGTGTGCACATATACATGCACATATGTATGTATGCATGCACGCATGCGTGCATCCATGTATGTGTGTATAAACGAATGCACGTATATGCACATATATATATATATATATATATATATATGTGTGTATATATATGTAAAAAGTACTCTGCGATGTGGTACACGCTACGCGTTGCAAGATATGAGATGCAATCTGCGTCTGGTGCAATATCCGCCACCGTGCCTCTGGCACAAAGTGGAGTGTCCCAAGGCTTATGCAGCCATGAACGGTACATGGTTCCCTACCTAGGTTATGCCTAGGAGGGTTCTTACTTTGTTTGCTTAAAGGGGCAGGCAGTGTAAAACGCCCCGGGCGGTTCCCCCAGTCCCCGCCCCGCGGTTCCCCCAGTTGCGCCCCTTAGCTTAGCGTTGCTTATCTCATCTTAGATTAGCTTAGCTTAGCTTAGCTTCATCTTAGCTTCGCTTAGCTGTAACTTAGCTTAGCTTAGCTTAGCTTAGCTTTAGCTTTAGCTTAGCTTTAGCTTTAGCTTAGCTTTAGCTTAGCTTTTAGCTTAGCTTTAACTTAGCTTTTAGCTCAACTTTAGCTTAGCTCTAGCTTAGCTTTACCTTAACTTTAGCTTAGCTTTAGCTTATCTGCAGCTTACCTGCAGCTTAGCTTTAGCTTAGCTTTCGCTTAGCTTTAGTTTAGCTTAGCTTTACTGTTGCTACTAATGCTGCTTTCCTAGGGGCTCCAACTCCTAGGTAGGGTCGCACTGGGATAATTTGTAAGTTTTTCAAAAGGCCCGGACTCCGGGTTTCCCGGGCGCTCCTGGGCGCTGCGGGGTGCTTCCAGAGTGTTCCGCGTGGGCCTCCGGGACAGTCCCTTCGCTTAGGAGGTGCCCAAAACGGGCCAAGAAAGCCCCAGGAGGCCGCCCAGACTGTCTGGGAGGGCGCAGAATCGCCGAAAGATCGCTCCAGTGCGCCCAGGATGGCCTCCAGACGGCCCAAGAGGCCTCGAAGACGCCCCAAGAGGCCCCCAAGGCCACTCCCAAGAGGCTCAAATCATTGATTGTCCTTAGGTTTTTGAACGACTTTGGCGTTCTCGACTTTTCGGCCTCCCGACGCTCCAAGACGGCCAAAGATGCCCCCCAATATCGCCCCAAGACAGCCGGATAATCCTCCAAGAGGGCCCCAGGGCCCCAAGACAGCCCACGGGCCTCCCAGACGGCCCAAGAGGCCTCTAAGACGGCTCAGAGGATGCCCCCACGGGGAACCCGAGAGGACATTTCGAGCCCTCGGCCTCGAGAGGCACCCAGGATGTCCGAAGAGGCCTCCAAGAAGCCCCTAAGAGGCCCCAAGAGGCTCCCGAGACCCCCAGGAAGCCAAGAGGGCCGCTAGCGGCTCCCATGAGGCCCTTCAGAGGCTGTCCTCAGATGCACCAAAACTGGCCCCCCAGAGGCCCCCGAGAGCGCTCCTAAGAGACCCCTAGGAAGCATCCCTGATGACTCTGAATCACACCGCGAGCACGGTGGTGGGATGGGCCGAAGGCCACTCGATGTGTGGTGCAGGCTATGCGTCGCAAGCGACGTGGTGCAGGCTATAGACGGGCCGCTGAAAGAAGGAACGCCAAATAAGGAACGACGCCCCTTCTCTGACCCCAGACCCGCCTGCGTGGACGAGGAACGCCGGAGAAGTTGCCAGGGACGGACCTACTGAACGTGAGGAACGTCGAGCCCCTTCCCAACCTGAACGGTTCCTTGTTTCAGCATCTTGGCTGCACGAATGCGCGCGAGACACCACCCGAGTTGGCGACCGACGCAGACGTGCTTCTGGAGCTCCCCAGGTGCTGGAAACTGCTGTTGCATACGGTAGGGGCCCGACCACAAGAAACCTTCCACAAGAAACCCGACCCTGAGACCCCAGGACGTCCATTGAGTTTGGGCCTGGGAACGTCTCGCTGTTCCATCGCAAGACCATCGAAAGAAAGAGACCATCGAAGGCCGCGTCTCAGCGCCTTGGCTGTATGCGATGCACTCTGCGTGGCGCAGGCCCCGTCGTGCGAGCCGCGTGCCCAGCGCACGGGGGCGCGCCCTCGAGGCGCCCACGGGGCGCGGCCACGGGCGGGCGCCCCGGCGAGCCCCCAGCAGACCCCACCCATCGCCAGGGGGGGGAGCCCTCGAGGCGCCCACGGGCGGCCACCACCCAGGGCAGCAGGCGAACCCCCAGAAGAGCCACCCGCACTCTTAGGAGGCAACTGCTGGGAGGCTGTCCTCGGACAAATTGAAAAAGATTGAGCCCCAGTGGGCGCCTGCTGTGCTGGAAAGGGCCTCGGATTAAGCCGGACTAGCCAGGATTAAGCGGGATTAAGCCGGACTAAGCGGGAGTAAGTCGGATTAACCCGGACTTCGGACCAGGGCAAAAACAGAATTTGACCTCCCAGGAGTTGCATCCGAAACATTCTTGGGTTGCACAGGTAAGAGCCCCTGAGCGCAGGCATTGTTAATGGGAATCAATCGAATTCAGCTGCGCTCCCCAACGGGTCCCCATCAAGACGCCTGCGAGATGCTGCCATCCTTGGGCAGCCGGGGGACAGCCACCATGGTGACTATGGGGTCCGCGGAAGCGCACTCCCGCCGCAGGTATCCGAGCACGCGCTCGCGGACCGCCCCGAAATCGCACTGGCCGGAGACGTAGACCTGCCCCCGAGGTCCTCCCGCCCCGCCAGGAACGCCCGAGGCCGTAACGCTGATGCACCACCACCGTGCCTCGGCAGGGCCGTTCTTTGGCCATGGCATGGTGGACCTGTCCTCCTGGCCGTGGCCAGGAGGGTCAAACCACCATCTCGGGTCTCAGGCTGGCCCTGGCCGGGCAATGGTGATGCTTCGGTGCCTTCGTCGGGTGACCGTACCCGTTCACGCGCGCCGCAGGGAGAGGACGCTGACCCTTTTGCCCCCTGGCCCCAGGGTCCTCTCGAAACCTGCGCCAGGACCCCCCTGGAGCACTGGTCAAGCTGACGTCACTTCGAGGCACGTCCTGGCGTGGCGAGCTGGCGCCTCAACACCCCTCCTCGGACAACGGTCGCGCGAACACGCAGGCTGCTCCGAGCGGGGCGAGAGAAATCCGGCAGGCCTGCGCCATGGCGACCTCTCCGAGGCCGCTGCCAACCTCCGCCAGCACGTTGCGCATGGACCGTGCGAGCATCCACAGCTCGGCCTCCCACTGCAGGATGCTCGCTCCAGTGGCGCTCTCGCGCGGGCGCTGCCTTTCAGAGACGCTGTCGCTCTCGGCGTCGACTGTCGCCGCCGCCGCATCCTGCGAGCGCGGCCAGAGACTAGGGACCCTGCCACAGGGGGAGGCCGAACGTTTCCGCATTTAGGCTGAGTGAACGTCAAATCCGGCATTCTAAAGGGTATGACGTCTATTTTGTGAGAGAGGGCCTGCGGCGGGAAAGTTGATCGCTGGTCGGGTTTCTTGAAGAGCCCTCCCTCGGCCCTTCCAGGAACACTCTTCCCGTACGTCGATGACTTCGCCTCGTGAAATGCAGCGCAAATCAATTCAGTGTAACCGCAAAACCATGCAAGGCAATGCAACGCAATGCGCAGCAGCAGCATACCGTAAAGCAGCACAACGCAAGGCAATTTATGGCAAACCGAGCCAGCTCGATGCAGGACACAATGCAGCAGAGAAGTGCGCTGTAGTGCAAGGCGGAACGAAGCAGATCATTTCCAAGCAAGGCAGGCGGCGGTGCCTATGTAATACCACGGTCGGGTGCTTTTGCTCAGCGTGTCGCCGTGGCGGCCCTGGGGACACGCTATGCCCTGCAAGCGGATAGCGTGTCGCTCCGCTTCGCGGGGCCAGATGCTCGGGAAGTTCACGCCTGGGAACCGCGAAATGGATAGCGTGTCGCGCCGAAGCGTGGTGGACCAGGAACGGCGGAACGACACGCTATCCCAAAGTTCCTGATCGACCGTAGCCTGCAGAGAGGTGCCTCAGAAGAAGCACCCGCGTCCATTCCCGAGCCCGAGTCCTCCGCCGCAGGCAACGCCATGGAGTGCGGCACGAGGCCGAGTACCCCAGCAGAGAGCAACGCCGGGCCTGTCCACAGCGCCTGGGAGCTGCGGCTGCGCGGAGAGCAACCGAGGCTTCTTCCTTTCCCTCCTCCCTCCTCCTCCTTCTGCTCCCTCCTCCTCCCTCCTCCTCTTCCTCCCTCCTCTGCCTCCTTTTTCTCCTCCTCCTCTTCCTTTCCCTCCTCCCTCCTACAAAGGGTGCCCTCCCGTGGTGCTGTTCTTGGAGGTGCAGCTCTTCATGGAGCCGCGGATGCTGTCCCAGCCAGAACTGACCTGCTACGATTTCAGTCCACCAAGTCTATCGTACAGCCAAACCTATGATCAAACACATTCTCATTCAAGACATCTGGGCCAGCTTCCTGGACGTTTCTCTTTTCATATCGGCAACCTGGGCGTTTTTTGTTGTTGCCGCTGGAGGGGCGAAGGTGCTCAAGAGGCTGTGCCAGCTTTCTGGCAAGTTGTCCAAGAAGCGCTGGCCCAGCTTTAAGGAGGGAAACTTCTTAATCCTATGCTCGACCGTACAGGCATCGAGGAGTGGCACCAAGTTAGCTAGATGTCTCACGGCGGTCGTTCGCGAGAAGTTGGCTATTGCACACCTGTCGGTGTCGGAGCGGATGTGGATGGACGATCTGCTCGGGCGCGTCTCAGGCAGCCGTGAACATGTTCGAAGTACATATGTGAAGTCTGTGATCACCACGGTCAAGGAGTTTCGCAAGCTCAAGCTGGGCATCGCTTCGAAGAGCGTGGTGGTGTGTTCATGTTATCAGGATGCGCTCAACGTTGCTCGTCGGTTGAAGAGGAAAGGCGTACACATCAAGCCGCCCCTGCAGTCATCATATTTAGGCATTGATTTAGCTGGATGTCGTCGACACGGTCAAGATACAGCTCGCAAAAGGGCGCACATCAAAGGCTCCGACGTATCGCGCGGGCGGCGAGGAAGTTGACTTCGCCTAGCAAGTTTCAGAGGACGGGGCCGCACGCCTCAGCATCATACGAACATCAGCTTATTGCGGTTTTTGGTTCGGTGATGCCCAGTCACAGGAGGAGGTTAGGAACTGCTGCAAGGTTCGCAACGAGGGGGAGATGCTTGACGTCATTAATCGAACTCCACCTCCCAAGCGCGGACCATGGTGTGATGCTGCCCAGGTTGTGCCTCAGTCAGTGGCTCGACTCTCGGCTTCTCGAACCCGCCTCCGAGCTTCGGTGGCCTTAGCATGGAGAAGGTCGGTGGCGGCTCTCCAGGGTGTCCCTGCTGGACCGCGAGGTCGACTCATTCGAGGCCCGCTTTCTCCTGTTGTGCTGCACTTGCTCCAGTCAGGGTGCGTCCAAAGTCGGCGACGTAGTGGCAGTTGCCGAGTGACGGGAGCAACGTGGAGCATACATGGGGGTTCTCCGCGGATGCTTTCGTTGGCCTGGGCCTGGCGCAGCCACTTCTCGACGAGTTCGAGACCACGTGGGATTGCAATTATGGCACGAGGCAGCTGGGACTTCCTGTGGAGGTGGCCTCGAGCAGGGCGCGGACTGGATGAACTATCGCAACCATGTGCTGCTCCTACTTAACGCAAGGCGGGGAAAGCAACTTTCAGAGCTGATGGTCACCATCGCCACCGGTGGGTACTGGATCCAGCAGCGGAAAAACAGGAGGCCGCGCGGACGGACTTGGGCGTGTGCGAGCGGTGCGGTGAAGATCCAGACACACCTGCTCATCGTAATTGGTTGCTTGTTCAGTGAAAGCAAAGGGTGGCTCATCGTAATTGGTTGCTTATTCAGTAGAGACACGGGGTCGTCAGCGAATGACGAATTAGCCTGGCGAAAGACCCATGTGCAGTTGTGAGTACCGTCTTTGTGAGCAGCGCATTCGGTGGGACTCCCTATGGGGCCACGAAGCGCTGTCCTGGGCGGGGAAACGCATGCAAACACCCCCACTGGGGCCTTCGGTGGAGCTCCCTATGGGGCCACGAAGCGCTGTCCTGCGTGGGGGAGACGCATGCGAACACCCCGATTGAAACCTTCGGTGGAGCTCCCAATGGGGCCACGAAGCGCTGTTCTGGGTGGGGGAGACGCATGCGAACACCCCGATTGAAGCCTTTGGTGAAGCTCCCTGGGGCCGTGAAATACTGTCCTGGGTGGGGGAGACGCATGCGAACACCCCTACTGGGGCCTTCGGTGAAGCTCACAATGGGATCTCGAAGCGCTGTCCTGGGCAGGGGAGACGCATGCGAACACCCCCAGTGGGGCCTTCGGTGGAGCTCCCTATGGGGCCACGAACCGCTGTCCTGGGTGGGGGAAACGCATGGGAACACCCCGATTCCAGCCTTCGGTGGAGCTCCCTATGGGGCCACGGGACGCTGTCCTGGCTGGGGGAGACGCATGCGAACACCGCCACTGTGGCCTTCAGTGGAGCTCCCTATGGGGCCACGAAGCGCTGTTCTGGGTGGGGGAGACGCATGCGAACACCCCGATTGAGGCCTTCGGTGGAGCTCCCTATGGGGCCACGAAGCGTTGCCCGGGGTGGGGGAGGCGCATGCAAACACCCTCAGTGGGGCCTTCGGTGGAGCTCCCAATGGGGCCACGAAGCGCTGTCCTGGGTGGGGGAGACGCACGCCAACACCCCGATCGAAACCTTCGGTGAAGCTCCTTGGGGCCGCGAAATGCTGTCCTGGGTGGGGGAGACGCATGCGACCACCCCAACTGGGGCCTTCGGTCAAGCTCACAATGGGACCACGAAGCGCTGTCCTGGGTAGGGGAAACGCATGCGAACACCCCCAGTGGGGCTTTTGGTGGAGCTCCCTATGTGGCCACGAAGCGCTGTCCTGGGTGGGGGCGACGCATGCGAACACCCCGATTCTGGCCTTCGGTGGAGCTCCCTATGGGGCCACGAAGCGCTGTCCTGGGTGGGGGAGACGCATGCGAACGCCCCCAGTGGGGCCTTCGGTGGAGCTCCCTATTGGGCCACGAAACGTTGTCCTGGGTGGGGGAGACGCATGCAAACACCCTCAGTCGGGCCTTCGGTGGAGCTCCCTATGGGGCCACGGAGCGCTGTCCTGGGTGGGGGAGACGCATGCGTACACCGCCACTGTGGCCTTAGGTGGGGCTCCCTGTGGGGCCACGGAACGTGTGAGGGGTGTGACGACATGGGCGGTGGGGACGATGATGGTGACGATGATGGGGAGGATGTGGATGAGGATGATGCTGCAGATGATGATGCTGATGGATGATGGGTGACGGTGATGATGGTGACGATGGTGTAGGGAGAAGGAGGGGATGATGATGATGGTGATGGGAGGGGAGGAGGAGGAAGAGGAGGAGGAGGAGGAGGAGGAGGAGGAGGAGGAGGAGGAGGAGGACGAGGAGGAGGAGGAGGAGGAGGAGGACAGGAGAGGAACGCGGGGCGCTGTCTATTCAAAACGAGGACCCAACACCACATGATGGTTGGGACAAAACAATCTGGTTACCGAGGCTATCGCCGAACAGAACAGCTACCCGTGCTTCTGAATGGGATGAGTAGCTCCAGATGAGTGGACCCGCGTTGCCGCGCCTGGTAGCGATGCGTTTTTTTTAGGGTGAATCATGGTCCATCGGTGCCTCGGTCCTGGGTGCCTTGGCCAGAGTCCCATGACCAGCCGCTGTTCGTTCTCGGTGGCTCCTCGGGAGGCAAGGGTACTCACGATTGTAGGCTCTGGCGTGTGGGAAGTGCGGTAGCTGTGTGTCAGAGCTTTTCTCCGGTGTTGTGGGCCCACATTTGTTTGGACCTCTGGTCGGGCCTACCCAGACGGTCTCCAGGGGAGAGTTACAGGATTTTGAATGGTCAATTAGGTTTTCGCTCGGCCTTCTAAGTTCTATCACCGACTGTGCTGAAAACTGAGCAGTCGAAGAAAGTCTGTACCTGGAGCCCGGCCAATTTTGCCAAGAGAAGTAATATCTGCTGAAGTCGGTAGGCGGTGGTACGCGGGTGCCGTGCGAACCCAAGAGGGCCCACTGGCCGACCTGTGGCAAGATTGGCTCACTCTTGTCGGAGCAGGGCCGAAAACGAGTCAGAAGTTGTTGTGCTGCAGATTCCCTCGCACATCACGGCACGAGAGGTCGTCGCTCAGGGGTGGGAGGGCTGGCCCAAGCAGGGAAATGTTTGTGTGGATGTTCGGCTGCGGCCGACATGGCCAGAGTCCTCGAATCAGATAGGTTCAGAATGCACCGAATCAAGCGTGAAGCGAAGCTTCTTAAGAGAAGGCTGCTCAGAATAGGATTGTATTCCGTTCAGGCCTCGCAAGACCTCAAGACGGGGCGTGGCCTCCTACTCCTCGCCCTCCTTCTTCTCCTCCTCCTCCTCCTCCTCCTCCTAGGGTTCTTGCACGCTTTGCGTCTGCCCACGCACTGGCCGAAAATGGCAGAGCGTGCTCGATGTGTTTCAGCTCTACTTCGAAAGGCAAGGCGTCCGAATTGCTAAAGGGTGCTTGCGCCCCCCCTTTCCATGTGAATTTCAAGGTCTCCCGAGTCCCGAGTGGACGGAGTTAGCACCTGGCATGTGGCTGGACGCATCCCACATACGCCCTTCGGTCTCAGGAAGACCTTGGATCATGGTTTTGTGGGTTGTGTAGATTTTTCGGTCAGGTCCAGCTCAGAGGCTTAGGTACACCTTGTCGCCCCCACTTGATCATCAAGGTCAGGCGCGAATACCTTGACAAGATTGATCGCGACCTGTTCCCCAAGTGCTGAACTCCGCCTTTTTTTCAACCGCTACGTGATGGTGGAAATCCTGGAATTCTCTCCTCCCTCCATGCATTTTCCTGGTTAAATAACGCCTCCCTGTCGCACCCCGACACGTGTCGATAGGGCGGGCTGGGCGTTTCGCCGGGGACTCCCCCACCATCTAGGATCCTTAAGCTGGGAATTTACGATAATTTCACGGATGGAGGGCGGGCCGTTTTCAAAATGTAGCTCTCGCCTTGGCACCGCGAACACTGGTCTTAAACTTCCGCGAGAGTTTCACGGATGGAGGGCAAGTCTTTTTCAAACTGTGGCTCTCGCTTTAGCGCCGCGCACGCTCGGCCTAAAAGCTTGCAAAATATTTACGGGTGGGGGCGGGCCCTTTTTAAAATGTGGACCTCAGCCCCGCGCACATGCGTCTTAAACGTTTGCAAGAGTTTCACGGATGGTGGACATGCCCTTTTCAAACTGTGGCTCTCGCTTTAGCGCCGCGCACACTCGGCCTAACCAGTCTGCAAAAAGTTTACGGATGGGGGCGGGTCCTTTTCAAAATGCGGACCTCGCTTCAGCGCCGCTCACATGCGTTTTAAACCTTAGCTTCACGGATGGAGGGCGATACCTTTTCAAACTGTGGCTCTCGCGTGGGCGCCGCGCTCACTCGTCTTCAAAGTTTACAAGAGTTTCAAGGGTGGGGGGCGGTACCTTTTCAAGACATGGCTCAAGTCTGATCGCCGCGCACACTCGTCTGCGAGAATTTATTGATGGAGGGCGGGTCCTTTTGAAACGGTGGTTCTCGGATCAGCGCCGCGCAAATGCATTTAACAATCTACAAACAGTTTCACGAATGGAGGGCGGGTCCTCTCTCAAATGTGGCTATCACCTTAGCGCCGCGCGCATTCGTCTCAAGAGTTAACAACAGCTTCTTGGCTTCTTATGGCTGATGTCCCAGAAACGGTGTGTTGGCACGATGTAGGACTGTCAGGGCGCGACAGTTACGTTGTTTCGCGGTCTTGAAGCTCCAGGAGCAATGTTCTGGCACGGATCATGATCGCCAGGGCGTAACTGTAACGTTGATTCGCGGCGTTGAAGTCCCAGGAATGGCGTTCTGGCACGGTTCAAGGTGTTTAAACGGTTGGCTTCCAATGGGACACTTCCTTCAGTAAAAATGAGCCCTTGTTGGGACCTATGAAGAGGGAGCTTTGAGGGATAGTGCATTGCAACATCGTTGATGCATCTTGGGGTTACATTGGTCCCTCCTCCTCCTCCTCCTCCTCCTCCTCCTGCTCCTGCTCATCCTCCAACTCCTCCAAAGAGCGAGCGCCATATCCGACCATTGCCAGGGGTGAGTGACTGTGGGTCGGAGCGTTCAGTGGAGCGCGAGACAAATTACGGGGCGGGCGATCCTAAGCACGCCCGCCTCCAAGCCACGCAAGGAGGCGGTTTGACTCCTTCGCACTTGTTTGACTCCTTCGCACTTGTGCGCAGCGCAGATTCGTCTACACCGCCCCCATGTGTGGATTCCTTCTCAGGGGCTCCTCTGTTGGGATTCCTTCCCAATGGGCCCCCCAGCGGCGAGATTCCTTGTCGTGCCCCCGACCCCAAGCCGGGATCCGCTCTTGGGTGGCGCAGCTGCGCCATTCCCGCCCGCGCGAGCAGTGCCCAGTCGCGCAGCGAGGCGCAGCCCCAGCCGCGGAGCGGCCCCCCACCAATCGCGGAGCGAGACCCCCGCAGATGCGGCGCAACCGCGCCACCTCCGCCAGAGGATCCCGGCCCGCGCAAGCAGTGCCCAGTCTCACGGCGGGACCCGAAGCGAGACCCCCGCGTATGCGACGCATGACGATTCCTCGCTTTGAAGGGGGCAGTGATGGGGGTAAAGGCGGAGAGGGACGTTACCCACCTGGCGCAAGCGGGGCAGGTGCTGGGGGCCTGGGATGAGGGCAGCGAGCGCGCACTTTAGCATCCCAGCCCTACCAACACCGATGCGCGATGAGGGTGTGGGATGTGCGCAGCGCGGACGCGCCATTGCAAGCAAACTCCTCCTCCCACCCCCCCTCGTCCTCCTCCTCCTGCTCCTCCTCCTGCTCCTCCTCCTCTTCCTCCTCCTCCTCCTCCTCCGCAATCGTATCTCACCGACGGGGCTGGCTCAGCAGCAGCCGGACCAGACGCCGAGCTCTCCACTCGGGGGGGCGGGGGGCGGCACTCTGCCCCCCCCCCCCCCTCCGCGGGGCCGGCGCACCCGAGGAGGAGGCAGCAGGGGAAGAACAGGAAGATGGACAACCAGGGAGGAGGGAGTACGAGGGAGGACGGGGGACGTAGGAGAAGATGGAGTGTGAGGAGGGAGGATGCTGAGGAGGGAGGAGGAGAGGAGGACGGAGGAGAGAGATGATGGAGAAGAGGACGAGTCCGCGAGGCCTGAGAGTACGGCCCGATGCACGCCATGGCCCAGGTCGAGATGGACTGCACCCGGACCTCAGGCGGCCGTTAAGAGCACCCCACCTCCGTGGCGCCTTTCTTCCAATACGACGCTCTCGCCTCCCTCCAGACGTGGGCACACAGCTGGCAGACGCGTGGGAGAAGGAGGACGGCAACGACGATTAGGAGCAGCATGCTAACAAGTAGGAGCAGGATACTGATGAAGATAATGACGACGACGACGACGACGACGACGACGACGATGATGATGATGATGATGATGATGATGATGATGATGATGATGATGATGATGATGATGATGATGATGATGATGATGATGATGATGATGATGAGGACGAGGAGGGGGAGCAGGAGCAGGAGCAGGCAGGGGGCGGCAGGGAAGGATAATGACGAGAAGGTAGGGACGGAGGAGGAGGAGGAGGAGGAGGCAGGCAATATGAGGAGCTGGAGGACCACAACCAAACCAACACATCGATCACTGATTGTGCAAACCGGCCTCCAGTCCCAAGTCCCCCCCCCCGCAAAGGTCAATGCAGATGATAGCCCTGCCATGGGAAATGACAGGACTTGAACGGTGAGGGTCCTGTCGGCTGTGCAACGAGCATCAACAACCGCACTGGCGAAACACACTGGAGTGGAGCGCTGGCGTCTCCCTTCACCCATCTACGCGGTACAAGCTTTGAGACAGTCGGTGCAGCGCCGAGACGAGTGTGATTCGAAACGAAGTTGCCCTCCATCATCCTAGCTGTTGACGACGATACTCTTCGGAACAATCAAATGCCCAAGCGTGTCAGGCGAGACAACGATTTGGCAACGAAGCCGCCTCCGTCCGTGCCGCGGCCGATGCTTCTCAACCACCCTGTGGCATTGGGCCCTCGCTTTGAATCCGCAACGCCGCGCTCCACTCCCTCCCGCTGCCCCTTCCTCCTCCTCCTCCTCCTCCTCCTCCTCCTCCTCCCCCTCCTCCTTTCTCCTCGTCTCCTTGGATCCCTACCGCCCCCTCACACGTTGCCTGCCCCCCTCACAGGGGGCTCCACCGAAGGCGCCAGCGGCAGCGCCCGCAGGCGTCCCCCAGAGACCTACTTCGGCACGCTCCTCGCACGCTTCGTGACCCGACAGGGAGCTCCACCGAGGGCCCCCAGTGGCAGCGCCCGCATGCGCCTCCCAAACAGAACTCGGCACACCCGTCACAAATTTCGTGGCCACAAGAGGAGCTCTGCCAGAAGGCCCAGTGGCAGCGCCTGCACGCGTACCCCCGCCGACTTCGACACACCCTTTGTGCGCTTCGTGGCCCCCATCGTGAGCTCCATCGAAGGCGCCAATGGCAGCGCCCGCATGCGTCCCCAGGCCCATCTCGGCACACCCCCCTCGCACGTTTCGTGGCCTCATAGGGAGCTCTGCCGAAGGCGCCAGTGGCAGCGCCTGCACGCGTTCCCAGGCCCATTTCGGCACACCCCTCACTCGTTTCGTGGTCTAGAAGGAGCTCCATCGAAGGCCCCAATGGTAGCGCCCGCATGCGTCCCTAGGCCAATCTCGGCACATTCCTCACCCGCTTCGTGGCCCCAAAAGGAGCTCCACCGAAGGGCCCATTGGCAACGCCCGCATGTGTCCCCAGGCCAATCCCGTCACACTCCTCACACGGTTCGTGGCTCAAGAGGGACCTCCATCGAAAGCCCCACGGGCCTTGCGATTTTCAGGCCTGCATATGGTTGATCCCTTCGCCCAGATAGTTTCAATAGTGCGGTGCGGGGGAATCCCAAGCGAGAGGACTCGGCTTTGAAAACAAAACGCTGTCCGGCCGTTACCAACTGGGACTTTCAAGCTCTGTTGTCATAGAACTCTTGGGCATCCCAAGCAAAGGCGTGAACGAAAAGAAAGGACTACTACTCCATCTTTGTATTATTGGCAGTGGAAGTTTAGGATCCCGAGCCCAGGGAAATCTCAAGCCACAATGCAATTTCGAAGACAACCTGCTCTCCATAACACGCCATCCTCATCCGTGTGACTGCCACGCGTACATGTACGCAAACCTCGAACGAGACACACATGGTGAACATGCCTGCCTCCATCCGTGTACGCGCTTGGCTTCCCAGCCAGCGTTGTCGTACAATAGAAAGGTAAAGTCAACGTGAGCCAAGTTTGGAAAACCTCTCACCCATTCGTGTGAATCTTGGAAGATCTAAACTTCAATGAGAGTGGGCCTTAAACAGCCTGACAGTGCGATGATGATGTGCTCTGAAAGGAAATGGGGTGTTGGACAGATCGGAAGAGGAAGTTGATTAGCCATGATGATGGGTAGTCGGGCGAAGAGGAGGACAAGGAGGATAATTAGGATGAACAGGGTCAAGCCAATCTGATTCAACGGTGTTGCAGTACACTTTCCCGTCTTAAGTTTCTCCCCATCAGTCCCTACAAGCCCTCCTTTCCACTCCAAGAAGCGCCCACCCCTCTCCCTGAAAGACCAACATCATATGGGCTTGCCATTCCGGTGAGAGAGTGCCGTATTGAGAAGCAACCGACTTGCCTCCTTCTAGCGAATAAAGAGTAAAGCGCGGAGGTTCATACAGTTCAACAAGTGTCCAACGACATCCTCGCCTTGAAAGAGGACCGCCACATCCGCGTAATTCTTGCGCACGTTTGCACTGCTGCTTCTGACCACAAGCGCCGATCAGATCGCAAGCGAAAACACGAGTTTGAAAAGGAACCGCCCTCCATTCGTGCTGTCAATTTATACATTTGTATGCCTGGGATGTGAAAGATAATAAGTCTCCAACTAAAAACAAAACTTGGACAGCAACCACCCTCAACTAGCAGCTGTTATATACATTCATTTGTTTTGTCTTTTTCTTTAAATGCGTATCGAGCGAACGCCCCACTTTGAAAAGGAGCCGACCTCCATCTCTGTAACTCCTGCAAACTTTAAGAAACGGATTCGCACGGTGCTGAGGCGAGAGCCCCATTCTTGAAAGGAGTCGTCCTCCATCCTTGAAATCGTTGCTGACGTTTAACACGGATGCGCGCGGCACTGCGGCGCGAGCCTCATTTCGCAGGCGATCTGTTGTTGCAAGCTTGTAAAACGCACGTGCGCGGCTCTCAGGCGAGCGACCCATTTTGAAAATCAAGCGTGCTACATCCTTGCGATGGTTGCAAGCTTTTGAAACGAATGCGCGCGGCGGTAAGGCGAGAACTCTACTTTGGAACTTCCAAGACTCAACGATCATACGTGCTGAGCCTCAAGCAAAACGCCCAGTCGGCCTACTGACACGTCTGCGGGTGCGGCAGGGTGGAAATACTTTTGAAGAACAAAGATGGAGGAGCAGGACGAGGAGGAGGAGAAGGAGGAGGAGGAGGAGGAGGAAGAGGGTAAGGAGAAGGAGGAGGAGGAGGAGGATAAGGAGAAGGAAAAGGAGGGGAGAAGGAGGAGGATCGAGGAAGAGAGGAGGAAGGAGGGAGGCAGGAGGAGGATGAGAAGAGAGGAGAGAGGAGGAGGAGGAGGAGGAGGAGGAGGAGGAGGAGGAGGAGGAGGAGGAGGAGGAGGAGGAGGAGGAGTGGGAGGAGGAACGCGCAGTGGGCAGCCAGCGCAAGGGGCGAGGAGGGCGAGGAGAAGTGGCCCGGGAATGCGAGCAGGGGGAGCCGAACTGCCGGGAACGGCGCCCCCCCCCAGACCCCCAACGTCCGGATTTTTCCCAATCGTCCTGCGGTGCTGGGCCCTCATTTTGAAGAGACAGCGCCCCGCATCCTAGCCTTCCTCCTCGCCCTCCTCGCCCTCCTCCCCTCCTCGCCCTCGCCCTCCTCGCCCTCCTGGCCTTCCTCCACGCCCTCCTCGCCCTCCTCCCACCCCTGCCTCTGGCCTCCACATGTCGACCACTTCAGCACACCCCTCACGCGTTGCGTGGCCTCACAAGGAGCTCCACCGGACAGTGGCTCCCCGCCCCTTTCAGCACACCCCTCACACGCTTCGTGGCCCCGTAGGGAGCTCCACCGAAGGCCCCAGTGCCATGGTCCAAATGCGGTTCCCCGCCCATTTGGGCACACCCCTCACGCGCACGTTTCGTTGCTCCATGGGGAGCTCCACTGCAAGTTGTGCCCACAACGCGGTACTCACAACTGCATATGGTTGGGTCCTTCGCCAGGATACTTTCATAAGCGTCCCCCCGAAGTCTCGACCCCGTCCCCCGGGACAGGTTTTTCATCCTGAGTCGCTTTAGGCCGAAACTAGAACGAACACCTCGCGTCGTGATTCTTTCTCGGCTCGAGGGGGTATGGGCGCCCCACCCCCCTGGGAGTTGGGCCCTTCCCCAAAGGGACCCTCCCGGAGGCCCCAGGCTCCGCCGGGCCAGCGTGGCCCCGCAGGAGCAGCCGCGCGCGCAGGTGCAGGCCCTCGGGCAGCGGCGTCTCGACGCAGACCCTGGGGGTGTGGCGGCGGCCCTCGCCTCGCCTCGCCTCGCCGTGTCCCTTCCCCTCTCGAGGTTCGCTCGGAGGAGCTTGCTCGAGGAGGAGGAGGATGAGGAGGAGGGGGAGGAGTAGGAGTAGGAGTAGGAGTAGGAGTAGGAGTAGGAGGAGTAGGAGGAGTAGGAGGAGTAGGAGGAGGAGGAGGAGGAGGAGGAGGAGGAGGAGAGGAGGAGGAGGAGGAGGGAGAGGAGGAGGGAAGGAGGAGGAAGAGGAGGAGGAGGATCGAGGCGGAGGCGGAGGGGGAGGGAGGAGGATGAGGAACAGGAGGAGGAGGAGGAGGAGGAGGAGAGGAACATGATGGTGAAGAGGATGATCGAGCGCTGGGGGGGAGGAGGAGGAGGAGGAGGAGGAGGAGGAGGAGGAGGAGGAGGAGGAGGAGGAGGAGGAGGAGGAGGAGGAGGAGAGGAGGAGAGAAGGAGGAGGAAGAGGAGGAGGAGGAGGATCGAGGCGGAGGCGGAGGGGGAGGAGGAGGAGGAGGAACAGGAGGAGGAGGAGGAGGAAAATGATGGTGAAGAGGAGGATCGAGCCGGAGGGGGAGGAGGAGGAGGAGGAGGAGGAGGAGGAGGAGGAGGACCAGTGTAAACCCAAGAGTAATCAACGATGTTGGAATCAACCCTCCCTCCCAGCTGCCTCTTCATAGGCCCCTACAGCGGCGCATTTCCATTGAGGGAACTGCCTCGTTGGAAGACAACCGTTTGAAAATCCTGAAGCATACCAAAACATTGTTCTCGGGATATCAACGCCACGTATCAACCTGACTGCTGCGTCTTGACGATCCAGAATCTTGCCAAACATGTCATTTTTGGGACTTCGACACCGTGAATCAACATAACAGTTGCTCCCGCATTGTCCAGAATCCTTCCAAAACACCATGTCCGATACATTGATCATGGGAACCCGTGAAACTCTTGCAATTCTGCAAAACGAATGTGCGCGGCGCTACGGCGAGAACCACATTTTGAAAACGACCCGCCCTCAATCCGTGAAACTCTTGCAACAATTTAAAACGAATGCGCGCGGCGCTTAGGCCAATCACATTTTGAAAACGACCCGCCCTGAATCCGTGAAATTCTTACGTACTTGTTGAAAAGAATGTGCGCGGCGCTATGGCGAGAACCACATTTTGAAAACGACCTGCCCTCAATCCGTGAAGCTCCTGCAAATTGTTGAACGAATGTGCGCAGCGCTACGGCGAGAGCCACATTTTGAAAACGACCTGCCCTCAATCCGTGAAGCTCTGGCAAATGTTTAAAACGAATGTGCGCGGCGCGCTATGGCGAGATCCACATTTTGAAAACGACCCGCCCTCAATCCGTGAAACTCTTGCAAATGTTCAAAACGAATGTGCGCGCCGCTAATGCGAGAGCCACATTTGGGAAACGAGCCGCCCTTAATTCGTGAAACTCTGGCAACTGTTTAAAAAGAATGTGCGCGGCGCTACGGCGAGAACCACATTTTGAAAACCAACCGCCCTCAAACAGTGAAACTCCTGCAAATTGTTAAAACGAATGTGCGCGGCGCTACGGCGATAACCACATTGAATAAACGATCCGCCCTCAATCCGTGAAGCTCTTGCGAATGTGCGCGGCGCTAAAGCGAGAACCACATTTTGAAAACGACCCGCCCTCGATCCGTGAAAATCTTGCGTACATGTTTGACAGAATGTGCGCGGCGCTATGGCGAGAACCACATTTTGGAAACCACCTGCCCTCAATCTATGAAACTCTTGCAAATGTTGAAAACGAATGTGCGCGGCGCTAAGGCAAGAGCCACAGTTTGAAAAAGACCCGCCCTAAATCGGTGAAACTCTGGCAATTTTTGACAAAGAATGTGCGCGGCGCTAAGGCGAGAGCCACATTTTGAAAACCACCCGCCCTCCATCTGTGAAGCGGTTGTCAC